ACAATGTGGAAGAATGAACTCCCTCCCTCCCTCCCACGCATTTGAAATAATCTACTAAATCCCTCTCTCCCTCGCGCGCATTTGGCATAATCTACTAAATGCAAAACAGCTCAGGCATTTGACATAATCTACAAAATCCAAAACAAATTTTCGCCATAACCCCAAAAAACGATCAAAACAATCAGTCCCCCAAACACTCAGTATACACTTTCTGTTCTCACCCAGCTTCATGTATGATTGTTAATTTGCACCCAAACCCTAACTCCATTCCCAAAAGAAGCATCGTATTTTAAGCCCTAAATCACAAGCAAAAAATCGCAGTAAACCTCAGAATAAAATTCATTAACCAGCAACAGAACCAAATAAGCTCTCAAACATTGCCTGGACATAATACATTGCATGCAAACAGTAAAACGCATGACTATTACCCGCACTCCAAACCCTAACCCTCTTCCCAAAACGAGCATTGTACTTTTAACCCTCAGTCGCTAAAACCCGTTTCAAACACAGAATACACTCCACTAATCAACAAACGAAACCAGATAAGCTCTCAAACATGGCCTAGATCATAATACATTGCGCGCAAACAGTTCTCATTAAAAAAAACAGGGTTTCCTCCCTCGAAGAAACCCTATGCGTCCTCCATTGGAAAAGGACTTTGTCCCATCATTTGCAGCTCAAATGCAGAAGAAGACACGGGACAATGAGTGTTATACCTAGCCTTCAATGTGCAGTTCAAATGAGAAACAAAGCAGAGAAGGAAGGGCCTTTTTCTTGTCCTTCACTGCGAAATGGTCTTATGCTTCTTCCTCATCTGTTGTTCTTTCCCTGGTTTTCATTTTGGTTTTAGAGAGAGAGAGAGAGGGTGTTTAGAGTGAGAGAGAGGTTTAGAGAGAGAGAGAGGCCATGCTGAAAATGCAAGACGCCAGAGCGCCAAAATATCAATTCTCCAAAATATTTGTGATGTTTATATCTGGGTGCGGTTTCTATAAGGTTGCAACCTTAAACAATCCAATCGAGGCGCATCTCCAAATTTAATCATAACATATAATTTTGTTCTAAAAAACTCCTAGAATTATCTTAAAAACTAGTTTTATATGTAATTAGAAAATTTTAAACTCCAAAAATAGTTAAAATCAAGTAGACCTATAAACATATGAAAATCTTGAAAATGAACGGTCTAGATAATATGTTACAAGATACACCATTTTTAGGGCTCAAATTTTTCTTTTTAATATTCATATCGAAATGATCAATTAGAGGGTTTTTCAACATTAAAACCACTTTTCCGATGGATTTTTTACCATTTTTAGGGCTCAAATTTATTTTTTTAATATTCATATCGAAATGATCAATTAGAGGGTTTTTCAACATTAAAACCACTTTTCCGATGGATTTTTGAGGTGCACATGTGATTCTACATTTCAAGATTGCAACCTTATATAAATGTTTTTCTTATGTGTGATCACAGTTTCCTACCACTGTGATTTGTACTAAAACAAAGGGAAAAATATTAATAAAGTGATCAAACCACCCAACAAATTGGACACTCCAAGAGAGGTATTGGTTTTAAGTCATTATCTTCCTCACAGTTTTTCCCCAATTATTCAAGGTGTTATTTTTGTTTAGAAAAAGTTTATATAAGGTTGCCATCATAAAATGTATGATTACATATGTACCTCAAAAATCCAACTTTCAATATTGAAAAACCATCTAATCGATCATCTCGACATCAAAATGTATAAATATAAAAACAAAATTTCAAAGTCCCAAAAATTGTGCATAGTGCCACACATTATCTAGACCATTCGTTTTCAAGATTTCTCATATGTTTATAGGTCTACTTGATTTTCACTATTTTTTTATTTATAAATTTTATAATTAGATATAAAAATAGATTTTCAAACAAACCTAATAATTTTTTACACAAAAGTTACATGTTAAAATAAATTTCGGAGGTGCGCCTTAATTGGATTGTTTAAGATTAAAACCTTATAGAAACCACACCCTATTCGTTTTAAATGATTTAGGTTAAAAAATTACAGTCCATAACTCTCAAACTGGCTAGGACCAAACTAGTCCTCCCTAAAACCCCAAATTTATATATAATGTTTTAGCTTGTCTCATAATCTCCTATGTATTTAGATAACATACAGTCCATAAAACCTTCCTTAAAATATTGTATTCTTATATTTCTTTTAAAAACAATCATATCATATATTAAGATCGATCCGGATCAACATGGGATCAATGGGTGGACGAACCACCCCACCAATTTGTTTTTTAAACACTCGTCGCTCTCAAATAATATATTAAAAAAATTATATGATATAAGATTGTTTATCTTTCGCATAAGAAGGTCACATTCACTTTTAGTTGTCAAATGTGAAATATAAATGATGGGTTTTATTAGAATGCTCACGAAATTTTTTTGGATTGTGAGGTTGATCAATAGCACATCACCGCCAGCTTGATTTCTCATTGACAATCAATGGTGATTGTGATATCCCTGTACAAAGGATAAATGATCTTATTATATACTTTTCTTATTAAAAAAATACCAAACTATCCCTGTTTAGAATTGAGAACATTGAATGTGGGCATTTGTGCAATTTGTATAGAGTCGAGGCTCTAAACAATCAAATTAGAGCCCACTTTCAAATAGTGCCGAGAAATATGGTTTCAATAATGGAAATCTTTGACCAACCTTAAAATATATTTTCATCTTTATTTATAAAATTTAAAGATTAAAAAAAGTGTAGATCTAGTAAATCTATGAAAAATTTAATAACATAAAAATTGGCAGTCCAAAAATGTGTTACAAGATGCAGTATTTCTAAAACTTGAAATCCATTTTTTTCTCAAATCCATGCATCTTGATGTTGAGATGAGCACTTCAAGAATATTTGAGCATCAAAACAACCTCTTCTAGTGAAAGTTTTGAGGTAGGCTCTAATTTGATTGTTTAGGGCCTAGGCTCTACAAAACTTTGTCCTTTTTAAATTGATCCATAATATTCCATGCAAATAAAGATGATACTCCTAGTTATCGAGGGTAAGCGATATGAAACAATGGTTTATCATGAAAAAAGGGGGTATATGAACAACATATTTGGCACATTTAACTTATACCAGTTGGGTAGACCAAATTACCGAAATGCATTTTACTTGTTCAATGTTCCAATATTTGAATGAGGGCAATTTGGTCATTTTGTAGCCATACTTTTCAATAGACACCTTATTGAAACGAGAAAAAAAAAAAACACACCCAATGTTTTTGTTTTCTAGCATTAAGATAAGCTTCTATTAAAGTGCAAGGTATACAATAGAATAAAAGAAAAAAAATTGAAAAATAATTAACCCCTATTTTGACAAGAGAATCAGCCTCTTCATTAGCCTCACAGTAGCAATACCGGATTTCAACATTTGTAACCAATAATATATCCTTAATCTCATAAAAATAGTCATTAACCTCCATGGGATTTCAACATTTGTAACCAATAATATATCCTTAATCTCATAAAAATAGTCATTAACCTCCATGGTATATTGGTTTTTCCTTTGCTCCAAGCAATAACATTTGCGAAATTTACTTCTACATCCAATCTAGAAATCAGTTTCAATCGTTCCAATTCCCAATATTAAATGACATCATTTGACCACCTTGACCATTTTTTAAGGTGGTTTAACTATTTGATCGATGTTCTCCAATAAACCAAAATAGAAGCCTAGATTGGGAAAAGTAATTACCTAATTTGGTAGGCTTACTTTGGGAATTACTTATTGAGATAATAATTATTTAATGGATGTGGTTTCTATAAGGTTGCCATCTTAAACAATCTAATTAAGTCGAACCCCCAAATTGTGCCATAACATGTATTTTTGGTGTAAAAACTTCTTAGGATTATATCAAAATTTACTTTCATATCTAATTATAAAATTGTAAGCTGTACAAATAGTTAAACTCAAGTAGATCTATAAGCATATGGAAATCTTCAAATTTACGATCTAGATAATGTGTTGCAAGATGCAGTATTTATGGGACTTAAATTTTTTTATTTTTTTTATTCAAACACCTCGATGTCGAGATGATCACTTAAAAGTTTTAACATTAGAACAACCTTTTTTGATGGATCTTTGAGGTGCATCTTTAATTCTATATTTTAAAGTTGCAAACTTATATAAACTTTTATGTGTTTAATTGTAATTAGAGCTATTCGTCCAAGCAATCCCATATGCTAACATGCCAGGTTGCCAGTCCCAAGCCAGACATGCCAGGCCTGAGCAGTTTTCAGGAATAGGCTAAATAATGTCTGACTTGATCCAATAACAATTTAAAATGCACACGCATAATACACAAAATACTTGAAACTGCACATGAGCGAGTTTCTATAAGACTTTGCTCACGCCTAGTCACCTGCCAAAATTTTTTAGATGGTCATGATTATTTGATAGTATTTGAATTTTAATAAATTTTCAGGTAGTAGATTTAGTTGAATTTTGGAATGCGTACATTGAACCATCACACACAAAAATAATAATAATAAGGAAAGAATAAGAAACAAACGATAAAAAAATAAAATGACAAAAAAAAGCCTATAAAATATTCATAAGGGTATACTGGTTATTTTAAGTATTTAAAATAGTTTATTATAATATGTTTTTATGCAGCTAAATGAGGTGCACACAGCGTCTCATTTGAAGTTTCTACAAGGTTACAACTTTAAACAATGCGCATCTCCAAATTTTATCATAACATGTACTTTTGGTGTAAAAAATTATTAAGATTATCTAAAAATCTATTTTTATATCTAATTATTAAATTTTAAACTTAAAAAATAGATAAAATTAGGTAGATCTATAAACATATGAAAATATTGAAAATGGGAGTTCTAGACAATGTGTTGCGAGATGCACTATTTTTGGGACTCAAAATCTTTATTTTTTTTTATATTTGTATACATCTTGATGCTGAGATGATCATTTAGAGGGTCCGATGGAATTTTGAGGTGCATGTGTAATTCTACATTTTAAGGTTGAACCTTATATAAACTTTTGCCATTAAACAATGGGTGTGGTTTGCAATCTTAAACAATCCAATTAAGGTGCACCTCTATATTTTATCATCAATGTCATTTTGATATAAAAAATTCTTAGGATGACTTGAAAATCAATTTTCATCTCTAATTATAAAATTTAAAACTTAAAAATGGTTCAAATCAATTAGATTTAAAAACATTGTGAAAGTCTTGGAAATGGACTGCCTAGATAATACGTTGCAAGATATACTATTTTACAAACTCAAAATATATTTTTTCTATTCATATTCATATATATTGATATTGAGATGATTTATTTTCTAACATCCAAACGACCTTTTATGATGAATCTTGGATGTGCACCTTTAGTTCCATCTTTTAAAGTTCCAACCTTACGTAAACATTTTCCTTAAATAATTGTGGTCTCAGGATGGGCCCAAACCCACTTCACAATGCCAGTATCAAAATTCAAGCCTAGCATCGCTTCAATGGTACAATCTAGGCTTTATCTTGAGCTAAATTTTGCATTTATTTGAAGCCTGGGCTCAGGGGAAGGAACAGGTCGGTCCGCCCTTGGACCTTGATCGATCCGAGCGGGTATGGATTTGGATCCAAATAATATACCTAATGGGTTGGATCTAGGTGCACTTGACCTTGAACCTACTGTGGTTGTGTCCGGGTCTGAGTCCAACTTGGACACTATTAGGTCGGTCAGGTCCAGCTCCGATGCAACCCAACCCAACCTCATGCCACCCAATATATGTACATATAAGGTATACATAAATACAAACTATGTATTGTAAAATATACCGTGTAATATTTTTTATTTTTTGTGAGACCCAGATGTTACCCATTCTAATTGGGTCTGGGTCCAAGTGATCTGGACCCGACGGCTCAAGGT